GTGATATTGAGGTTCATCGCATTTAATAGGTTATATGTTATTTTAAAGAGTTTTGCTACAAGTACCCGGAGTTTGACTCTCCAGGTTACCTTCTACTCACATTGGGGTCAGGGGGCCCACGCCAATAAATGTGTGGGGCTCGACCCCCTCACTCACATCAAGTAATCCGAAGTTTCAAACTCTGGGTATATGTAACAAAACTCTATTTTAAATGTGCAAACTTCGAGTACATGTAACAAAACTCTATTTTAAATGTGACTCATATTTCCACTTTCAAGATGATCTGTCAATTGATGATATGCCACATAGACAAGTTGTAAAATAGAAGTTAACAATCTTTAATAGGGTAATGACACAATATCCCATAACCTCTTTATGATTTATGAATACTCTCTAACCTTTTATTTTGACTCAAAATTCCCTTAGTTTAGCCAAACGTTGCGAAAAATCCCTATGTTAGAGTTATAGGGGATTTTGAAGACCAAAATGAATAAAAATATCAAGACTTCTATTTTACGACTAAGGTAAGTAGGTAAAAGTAGTTAATGCTATTTGACCTACATTGTGCTAAACATCGATTTATGTGATATTGAGGTTCATCGCATTTAATAGGTTATATGTTATTTTAAAGAGTTTTGCTACAAGTACCCGGAGTTTGACTCTCCAAGTTACCTTCCACTCACATTGGGGTCGGGGGGCCCACGCCAATAAATGCGTGGGGCTCGACCCCCTCACTCACATCAAGTAATCCGAAGTGTCAAACTCCGGGTATATGTAACAAAACTCTATTTTAAATGTGCAAACTTCGGGTACATGTAACAAAACTCTATTTTAAATGTGACTCATATTTCCACTTTCAAGATGATCTGTCAATTGATGATATGCCACATAGACAAGTTGTAAAATAGAAGTTAACAATCTTTAATAGGGTAATGACACAATATCCCATAACCTCTTTATGATTTATGAATATTCTCTAACCTTTTATTTTGACTCAAAATTCCCTTAATTCAGCCAAACGTTGCGAAAAATCCCTACGTTAGAGTTATAGGGGATTTTGAAGACCAAAATGAATAAAAATATCAAGACTTCTATTTTACGACTAGGGTAAGTAGGTAAAAGTAGTTAATGCTATTTGACCTACATTGTGCTAAACATCGATTTATGTGATATTGAGGTTCATCGCAT